AGTAGTGTGATGAAATCTCACACCCTCTCATCCATCCCTCCCAGTATGTCCAGTGTGTCTGTCCACACTGCACACACTGCCTGACCATTACTCCCCTAGCAGCCACCTCAGTAATCAGCTTGTGGTCAAGTAATCTTATTCACTTATTCAAGACCTCAGAGCAGGAGAACAGTGCCACTGGCAATTCAAGTACATCAAAGAAATGCTACAAAGCGCTTCCTTTAGTGAAAATGTCAAAGTCCAGAGTGAAATAGACCACATTCACAGAACGTTTATCATGGTGCATTGTTATAACTGCTGTACTTTACTAGTAGTTTTTGTCAAACTATCACCGTGCCCCATTATAAAGTAAACTTTATCAAATGAATGTCTGATAGGAGAAACCATAGTATATACGGGGTTGAGCATTACCTATGGTTTCAGGCATCCACTAGGGAATCTTTGAGTGAATCTCCCCGGGAAAAAGAGAATCAATGTACTGTTAGTTTGGTAGAAATTTCTATTGTGAAAATAAGGCAAAATACTGAAGCAAATTATATGTATGGCTGACAGAAACAAATTCTTCAGAATAATCTCAGTGTACATTTTTCCAGGTTGCATTTCAGCACAGTCACTGACAGACAGCAGTGAGGACTGAGAACAGCAGGGCAGAGGCCGGACCAAGGTGGAGACAGAGACCGTGAACTGTCCAAATGGGGTCAGATAAGAGGTGGGGAAGAGCTGCAGAAGCCAAGGAGGGCCAAGAGAGGCATCCCAGAAATCACTGGCAGGTTTCTTCCCCACCCCTTCTCCCTGTGTTTTACAGCTTCCCTCCGGCATTGCCAGCACCTCCACTTTTACTTTTATTTTCTGTTTTCAGTACACTTTCTCTCCAGGATTTTAAGATAATTTAGCTCAATGGAGAGATCTTGCATAAAGCTTTTGGGAGAGCAATAATAAGAACTGCAGTAATAAAAATTAAATAATTGCCACTTCTTCAAGAGAACACAAAGAATATACATTCCGGCCTAAATGTTTCAGCGACATAAGGACAAAGAAGCACAACAAAGTAAATTAAAGCTCTTCCCCTAACAAGCCAGAGTCAGAGACCAAAATGGCAGAAATAAGAGCTTCAAAGTTGTCACAGAAAGATTGAGGCCATCCAATATGAATGGGGTTCCATGTAATAATTTCTGAAGCCTCAAAACAACGCTGTGGTAGAATTGAGGGGAAGTCTCTTTAATTGCAAAGGTCAGAGAAGCTCTCGTGGCTATGTGAGGACAAGTTCAAAAATTATTATTTTCCTTCTTTGGGTCTTAAGAGATGGTTGTAAGCCAGGCACAGGAGGCTCACACCTGCAATCCTAACTACTCAGGAGGCAGAGATCAGGAGAATCATGGTTTGAAGTCTGCCCCAGGCATATACTTCATGAGATCCCATCTCGAAAAACCCTTCACAAAAATAGGGCTGGTGGAGTGGCCTAAGATGAAGGCCCTGAGTTCAAGCCCCAGTACCACAAAAAAAAAAAAAAAAAAAAAAAAAAAAAAAGATGGTTGTAATTTTACCAACAGTATTCTTCTTTTAATGAATTTAGAGTGTCGTTCAATTTTAAGATGATGAAAATAATATGGAATTTCAATATACAAAACTATATCAGATATTTTAAACTCTGCTGGATTAACTGCATCAGTGTGCATCAACCAAAACTACAAAAATGAGAACAAATTCACTTATCACCATCTAAAACCAACACTAACCCAAAACTAAATAGAGTCAGGAAAGCCAGGGTTTGCCTGTAGATCCTGTTGTCACAATAAAAAAATTGTTCAATCAGGTGGTAGAGATCTGGAGGATCATAGTTCAAGGCCAGCCCAGGCAAAAGTTAGTGGACATCCCACCTCAAGAAAAAAGTATGGCATGGTGGCTTGTGCCATAATCCCTGCTACACAGGAGGTACAGGTAAAAGGACAGCAGTCCAGGCCAGCCTGGGCAAAATGCAAGAGCCTATCTGGAAAATAACTAAAGCAAAAAAGATCTAGAGAGCTGCTCAAGTACAGAACACCTGCCTAGCAAGTGTGAGACCCTGAGTTCAACCACCTCCATCTTGCCCCATCAAAAAAAGACCAATCTATTTTTGCATTATTAACTATTAAGGGCCTATCTGTTTAATAAAATTGTAGGAAAAGATAATTTTATTGCAATTTTGAAATCCTTTGGTCTTCTTTCTGTAACTCAAGTTACCTTTTCTATAGTGGTTTTTAAAAAAATTTATTTATTACATAAGGTACCTTTCAGCCTAATTATTGCATTAAGAAATGCTTTATAGGAGGCAGAGATAGGAGGATCCCCATGTTTGAGGCCAGTTAGGGCAAAAAGTTAGGGAGGACTTATCTCAAATCCCAGCTACTCAGGAGGCAGAGGGAAGAGGATTACAGCCTGAGGACAGCCCCAGGCAAAACCCCAGAGACCTTTTCTGAAAAACAATCTAATAACAAAAGAATTTGGGGATGTGGCTTAAGTGGTGGAATGCTTGCCTAGCAAACATGAGGACCTGGGTTCAATCTCTAGTACTGCCAAAGGGAGGGGAAAAAAAGAACAGCAACAAAAAAACAGTTTGTAAAATTATGTCCAGGTGTGGTAATGATGGAACAGAGCCCATGCAGATAACAGCTTTTGACTGTAAATTACATGTAATTTTGCCCACGGGTGCACAAAAGCTAGTGATCTATTTATACTGCACTGTGTTTCCAAATCGTATCTAAGTCCTCTAGAGTTCAAAAGTAACTCACTGGCATCCAGGATGCAGTGCAGAATAAATTGCTGACACTCAGGGAGGAGTTCTGCACGAAACAGTTTAACTTTTTTTTTTTTTTTTTGCGGAACTGGGGTTTGAACTCAGGGCCTCATGCTTACTAAGTAGGTGCTCTACCACTTGAGCCACTCTGCCAGCCCCCACTTAACTTCTATGGCTTTGATTTTTCTCTGATAAATTAATATTACTAGACAATAAGATCTGAATTTACCTGTAATTCTATGTCTTTCTCCCTGGGAAGTAGTCATGCCTTTTATTTTCCTTGGTTCTTAAATATGTATTATACACATACACAATGACATAGGTCAGTTTGGGAAGGTACATGTTAAGACGGAACACTTCACACTTCCTCTGTCTCAGAGGGTTTGGGAAGCAGGGACAACAGCTCTCCAGGCTACTCTAACCCATGGCGCATTCTTGTGCCACCCACTCAGTTCCATCCGCTACTGCTGTAACCTGACAAATCACTCCAATTCCCTGCACAGCACTATGAGCTCTCTCTTCCCACATCTACACTGTAGGGAAGATTATAAATAAATCCTATATTCGTCTGACAGCACCATGTGCAGGTCTGTGCATTTTCTGGGACTAATTGCTGAGGGAAAGCCAGTGCTCTAGGGTAAGTCTCATTCCCATCTGCGTGGTAATTAGATGCTAATGTCTTTTGAAATGAATTCAGCAACCCCGCATAGTATTGAAGGAAAGGGTAAAGGAGCTGAGATTTAATCACATTCTCTTCTGGGGACTTAATGTAAAATTTCTTCGACACGTGATCTGGGCCATCGAATGGCGGAGCAGAGCTCACTGCCGCTTCTCACTGTAACAAAGCAACTCACAGCAGCAGCACTGATGGCAAATGTCCCGCCAAGGGCCCGTGGTACACAGGGCTCTGGCAGAGGAAGTTTCTGACTTATGAGAATCCACAGTGTGTGCTTGACCATTCTTTTTCTACTTCTTTGCTGTATTTAAGCAAATTCTATCAAGTATAAATAAACGGAGGCTGTGAGCAAAGTTATAATATAACAGCTACAGGCTACTAAATAGAACTAATACAAGCAGAGGTAGAATTGTAGAAACAACCAAGACACAGAGAATTTTACTTTAAGTCAGGGGACACATTTTAAACAGGTCAGCAAGTGTACATGACATTGCTCTACCCTAGAAATCCAGTATGTATAATCTAAAAGCCCATTTACAAATGATTCCTACTCAACAGTGTTCTTCACTTCCATGAAACAGCTCTTGTGACGCTGGCTTTAGCTTTCCTGGCACTCACTATCGAGTCAACTTCCTATTCTCAGCTAACAAGCACATTGGATTTGATATAAAACTCTATACCAATTCTTCTCATATCAAAGAGAAATGACTGCAAGATTTTTTTTTCTGAACTATAAAAAGAAACCAGTGAAATGTTTCCCACATAAATTTATTCCCTGTCATCCTTGACCTAAGGCCAAAAAAGTCCCATGAGAATGTGAGCTATAACTGCTTAAAAACCTGATATATGCACTTTTCTCATTTTTAGGGTGCTACGTGGAGCTACTAAGGAATGGGATTACTTTCCTCTAACACATACCCCATTCCCAACTTCTGGGAAAGGTAGAGAGCTAGACTGAGTTAATGATCAATCATGCCTATGTGATAAAGCCTCCATAAAACTCCCTGAACTAAGCCAGGTGTAGTCATGTGTGCCTGCAGTCCCAGAACTTGGGAGGCTGAGGTGAGAGGATCACTTGAGCCCAGGAGTAGGAGACCTGCCAAGGCTGAGGCCTGTCTCAAAAACAAGTCCCTTGAACTACAGGGTTTGGAGAACTTCTGTGTTGTTGAACATGTGGAAGTTCCTGGAGGGTGGTGTGCTTAGAGAGGAGGCTTGCTCCCTCCTCCCCACTTCCCATATCTTGCCCTATGCATCTTTTCCATTAGGCCATTCATTTGTATGTTCTGTAACATCCTTTATAATAACTGTGTAAATGTTGAGTAAAGTGTTCCCTGAATTCTGTGAGCTTCTGTGGCAAATTAATCAAACCAGAAGAGGTGATCTTGGGAGCTCTCAATTTATGGCTGGCCAATCAGAAGTATATAGCAAATAATACTGGCATCCAAAAATCTGATTTCTAGTCTTGCTCTGAAAACATCTCATGTTCCTGTATCCCACTCCTTTCCCCCAACACTTCACTAAAAGAGAATCTGGAAATATAGGCAGCCTCACCTCTAACAGCTCATCTCCAACACGCATCCGTCCGTCTGTGGCTGCAGGTCCTTCTGGGTTGATCCCCACCACGAATATGCTCAAGCGAGACCTGTCTTTGTTACCAGCGAGGCTGAGTCCCAGTCCGTTCTTATCCTTTTCAAGTTCAATAATGTGTAGCTCTCCAGGCAGGTCTGCATACCTTTGCCTGATTTTTTCTATTAAGAATAAAAAAAAAGTTGAAAAAATGAGAGCAGTTGAATGTATAATATGATGTCAGTATCCCCCGCACTCCCTTCGATTCTTCTAAAATGGTCACTCTTTAGAATGAAGTATGTAAGGTCAGCATGACCTGATGTGCAGGTTACAGTTAAAAAGTATTTTATCTCCACCTAAATATAGCTTACCTATAAAACCTCTGCTTGCTCTGGTTGCCAGTAGCCGGAAATTTCTACAGATTGTTTTCTTATTTAAGACAGCCAACACAAAGTGGAGAAATCATGGCCCCTAACCACCTCCCTTACAGAAAGGGGAAAACAAAGAAATTTACTGAGGAACAGCTAGATCCCGAGCAAAGTACTTGGTCTTGGAGATAGAATACTGAACCCACATTCATTGTTGCTATGCTCGTGGGTTTATAGAACAGTAGGAAAGATTATCAGTAATTCTGAAACACAATTATACTTAAAATATACTGATTTAAAATATGCAAATGTATTTGCACAATGCTGGGATCAAACCCAGGGTCTTGTACATGTTCGACAAGTGCTTTACCTCTGATCTACATCCCCAACCTCTAACATACATTCTTTAAAATATGCAAATGGCTGGAGCTAAGCAACCACAGAATGAAACCTCTGAAGCCATAAGCCACAGTCAGCCTCTTCTTCTTAAGTTCAGTATCTCAGGTGTTTGTCTCAGTGACAGAAATCTTACTAACAAACCAGTGAAAAAAATCTTTTTTTATAAAAAGTAAATTTAACCTGAGTACATAAAAATATTCAACTTGATATCCATGTGGCGGCCAACACTTGACCATTTTTTGGCCTCAAGCCCAGCAATTTCATATGATTCAACCTAAGAGTATATTATGAAGTTGGGCATATCCCAGAAAGACAAAAAAAAAAAAAAAAAGTTAAGTACCAGGAATCCTCTAAGGAAAATCACCACAGTAGTAACCTCAGAGAAAGTTCAAAGATGATGTTACAGATGGAGAAAGCATTTGATTAGCTATACCTGTTTAAGATTAAAAATAAGACAGTTGGCAAAACAGAATAGTAGTTTCTGAACTTAAATTTATAGATAGAAAATATACCACGATGAGATATTTTCAATTATTTTAATCCAGGAAAGAATTAATCCACAGGGAAGTTCTAAAAATACAGAAAAATATGGCAGCCCTGATAGAAATCTAGCTAAAACACATAAACTGAAAGGCTCACAGAAGAAATGCTCAAATGTATTAGTAATTTCAGAACTGCACATTGAAGAAGAACATCAAGGGCCAGAGATGTTGCTCGGAGGTGGGTCACTTGCCTTGCATACTTGAGGCCCCTGGGTTCTATCCCCAACACTACCCCCCAGGAATGAAGGCATCAAAATATTGAAGGAGATATTAAGCAATGAGATATTAGAATGAGACATATTACTAGGCTGGTGAACATGAAAACTGGATCATAAGTCCTGGCAGAGACAAAAGGACATGCACTTCCAGACAGCAGCCCAGTGCTCCTTCATCTAATTAAGTATGCACATGGTCTACAAACCAACAATCCCACTCCTGGTATCTGCATTCTAACAAGCTCTACACAGGTGTCCAGCGGACATGGAGGATGCTGATTACAATGTCTTCTGAGGTAGCAGGGAGTTGGAAGTAATCAGGTGCCCATTATTGGAAAATGGATGTTACAGCATGCCAGCAGTGGGTGGAAGAGATTCACAGAATGTAGCAAAATAAAGAAGAGATTTTCAAAACAGTGCTGAATGAAAAAGAAAACCAGGATGGGGTCTATACCATTTATACAGCATCATTTATGCAAGTTAAGATGACTACTCATAAAGCCCACAAAAGATGTTGTGGAAGTGCAAATAAAGAGACAAATATTCACTACATTAGACTGGTTCCTTGTGGAAGGTAGAAAGGAACAGGAGCACAGAAAAACAGAGCTACTACCAGACCAATGGCAGTAACATGCTACAAAGTAAGGATTGCATTTAATGCAATTCCTGGGCCCTGAAGACTGAAAAAAGAATGATGTTGCAAGAGGCTTTCATACTGGGTTAGTACAAAAAGACTTCCAGGTTCAAAACCTCTCTAATCCATTCAACCTTCAGAGAAAAAAATACGATCTTTGAAGTCATTCACTACAGGTTCAACTGCTTAGGCATGTGAATGATTCATGACAGGAAGGACCCTCCTTCACTAAAGTAATGTTTCCATCACAGCTAATGACAAATCTGCATCACTCGCACATGTGTCCTTGGAGACGAGTAGAGAAGGAAGAAGGGCAACAGGTGAGAATCAGGTCAGATCTGCTCAGGGCACTCCACAGTCCTAACCCCTTATGAACTGCTGCAAACTACAGCTCTTATTTGTACAATGAAGTTGTCACCGGAAAAGTAATCTGGAGTATAAGGTCCAAATTATGTTAGGGAAAGAAAAGTCATGATTTCCTTACCATTATTTAGTTATTCTGAGGTTCTTTGTTTGTTGTTTTTGTTGTTGTTGGCACTACAGAGTGAACCCAGGGCCTGGTGCTTGCCAGGCAATACCACTTGAGCTATACCCCAGCTCATGTTGAGGTTTTGAGTTAATCTTTTTTTTAGAGGAGGGGTCAGTCCTGGGGTTTGAACTTGGAGCCACAACCGCAGCCCTTTTCAAATTTTAGTTATTTTTTGGGATGGGGGCTTGCATTTTTTGGCTGTAGCTGACCTCAGACCATGCTCCTTCTATCCATGCCTCCTGAATAGCTGGGATTAGAGGCATTAATCATCACACTTGGCCTTAAATTAATCTTAAATTGATGACAAAGTTACCTTTTTATTCTTAATTTTGTCCATCACAAGGAAAATTGAGATTTGTAAAAGTAAGTAAAAATTTCCCCATGATGGTACAAAAAACAAAAAAAAGGCCACACAGTCCTTCCTGGGAATCATGAGATGGGGTTAGCATCTCTGCCCACTAGGCTCTCTTTTCTGAGTTACCCACATCGAGGACTCCTTGGCATACATTCTCTAAAGGTGTAGAGGACACACTGTATCACGAGGTGTCCCATAAGGCATGGAGACACCTTTAAAATTGTGTGATAGCCAAGTGTGGAATCAAAACCCTTTCTGGTTGGGCACAGCAGCTCACATCTGTAATCCCAGCTGCTTGGGAGGTGGAGAGCAGGAGGATAGCAGTTTCCTTCTGAGGCCAGTCTGGGCAAAAAGTTAGTGACACCCCCATCTCAACAAATAAGTTGGATGTGGTAGTGCATGTTTGTCATCCAGCTGGAGGACTGTTGGTCTGAGGTTAGCTCATGCAAAAAAGTGAGACCCTATCTGAGAAATAACAAAAGCAGAACAACGAAAACAAAACAAAAGGATTAGAGGTATGGCTCAAATGGTAGATTGCCTGCCTAGCAACAGTGAGGCTCTGTCCTGTGTTCAAACCCCCAAAAATCTCAGCACCATTAAAAAAAAAAAAAAGAAACCCAAAAAACAACCATCACTTCCTCCAACGACTCTTTTTGTAGTTTCAGTTTGGGAAGGTGAAGAAGTTTTACCACTTCAGTGAAATTAACAGTATTGAAACATACAATGAAAATGGCTAAAACAGTAAATTCTTAATGACTATTTTAACACATTTTAAAAACTCTTATCAATAACTTAAAAGGCCCTCAAAACTTGGTTTCTTTATGAATAACCTACTAAGAGACTAAGTTATTAGCCCCACTCTTTGAAACTAGAAGCTTTATTTCTTGGCCAATATTTATATTTTTATAAAAAAAATTAAAAATAAATTATTTAATAATAATTTTTATTATTCAATAAACTAATGCTGATTGAACCCAAATTAATGTCAGACTTGTGAAACAAAAGGAATCCGCTAGTGAACATACTTTCTAAGACCTAGAAATCTATCCCTGGATACAAGCAAACCTATGACTAGCTATTGTTCAGAGATGAATAAAATACCAGCCTCTGAAACTACCCACCTGTTTTAGTAGTTATCAGGAAAGCCAACTCATGACCGCAAGCTCATAGCACATTATACATACTCTTGCTGACTTGCAACCCACTGGGCAGCTATAGCTATAAGCTACCTTATCGGTTAAGATCTAAAATCTCTGTGTTCCAGATGTGGGAAATAGGGTTGATATGTTAGACAGCTTGCCAAAGGTCACCTAGCTAGTATTGATATAATAGGGAAACAAGCCCAGCCCTGTCTTCATCACAGTATTTTCTGAAAGTGTCTTTTCTAGATTCCTCCTTTCCTTCTATTTCTCCCTCTTAGAATATGAACTCCACGAGGCTCTTTGTCCTCTTCTTCTGTCCTGTTTGACTGGCAAACAGTGACAGGTAAGGTCCTCTTCAATCACTATGCCACACTGTGCCAACAGTGCCCTCAAACACTGATGTATAAAATCCACTTGAGACCTGAAATTCCAAGATACACACAATCTTTCCCAAGGCAATGCATTTCTTCACCTAAAAGAGGTAATTTCCTCTTCAGATTCCTATTCCAAATTGACTAGAACAAAGTAGTACTATGTGTACCTTTTCTTTTAAAAGCCACTCTGTTAGGGGCTCGAGAGTGCAGGTCAGTGGCGGAGTGTGCTTGGCACACACAAAACCCTGGACTCAATGGCTGCCCCCTCCCAAATAAACAAACAAATAAAGTCCACTCCATTGAACTGAAGAGTCTTGAGAAGCAAAAAGGGTTTACAGTTTATTATTTTTTAGTGTATCATAAAACAGGAGGAACAATAAGATGGTAAAAGTGCCTAGTGTTCTGTAATACGTGGTTCGGTTGAACTTTTATTGCTAAATTTTCAGGCCTGAGCATTTGGGTTATCCTACAATTTCATTTGGATTCATAGCAGGCAGAGGCTTAAAAGATGGCAGGTTCTGCTCCTCAGATAAATTAATTATGGTTTTCCGTACCATATGGAATCAGACTTAATTCAGGCAAAACAAAGAAATCATGTGAAGTTACCATCTCTTACAGTCCCTC